GTGGTTCACTAGAAGAGAAAACGACTTTTTCGCGTTTTACAGCGCGAAGCATATTTCACTGCGGGAGCCTTAGATCATGAGTGGACCCAAGGTTCCTGCAGCGAAAAATAACTGACGCTTTAAAACGCGAAAAAGTCGTTTTCTCTTCTAGTGAACCACGCCCGTGGAATCATAGGTCCACTCTTGAACAGCGATAGACCTGAGGTTCCCGCAGCTGTGCAAGTTCGAAGTTTAGAAGAGCTCATGGCAAGCTATTTGTATGTGGAAGAAGTGGGGGAGCCTTCCTTTTGAAAAAAGGGAACCGTTTCATCGATGTTAACAGGGTTTTTAGCAAAACTGGGCAGTTTTTCTTGCACAGGTGACCAGTAAGCGAGACTAGAGCAACCCGTCTGGTCGGAGTACTTTCTGAAGGGTAGACTGTGGCTGGAGAACCAGTTCTCGTTGCAACGAGGGCAGTCTTCATGGAATTTTTCACATTCGTGTTGTACACGCGCTCACAAAACTGCATGCCATTGCAGAAATCACGTCTGCAATATCTTGACGTCCAGTAAGTACTTTTTTTGGGGATTTTGGTCCGTGCGGGGAGAAAATGCAAAACAACAATCCACTGCTCAGATGAATGCTCTTATGTTGAACATGCCTACTGAACTGGTGTTGGATATTCAGCGTCAAAAAAAGGACAGACGCCCAACGACTTCTAAAAGGAGCCAAAAAAGAGGGCAGACAAGTAAAAACTTCACAAGGAAAAAAAATAAGATGAGCACAAAACAGATGAAACGTGAGTAGTGCTTGCGCAATATTCAACCTCTTCAACCAGCTCCAAAACGTCAAGAAAAAGTTTTCTGCCGAATCTGTAGGGAGACTGCTCTGATCTCATACGACACGTACTCGCGGCGCAGGTCCCATTTGGTACCAGTTTTCGCGTCATTTTTCTATAAACCTATTATGGGTAATGGACATGACTGATGTATAAAACCTATTTACGATATTTATCCCGAGTCCGATCGCAAGTATGACATTCATTTTTGAAAAAGGAGCCATTTCTGCTCATCTCCCGTCAGATAACTCCGCCACCAAAAATGGAGGTGTATTCGGGATGTAAATCGTGAATTGCAGGTGTGGTTCGCCCAGACAGAGAACGACTTCTTCGCGTTTCGCAGCGCGAAACATTTCTTGCTGCAAGAACCTCAAGCCTACCGCTTATCATGAAGGACCTGGAGTTACCGCAGCGAAAAATGCTTCGCGCTGCAAAACGCGAACAAGCCCCTTTCTGTCGTATGAACCACACCCGTGAACTACTCCTCGGCGAAGTTTTAGCTCGAAGAATCTTCTGATATTCAGTGACCATAGATGACCTGAGTACATGCGACAAAAAACAAGGAAGGAGAAATTGCAAACATCGCTTGTATACGTAACACAAAAGAATAACCAATACCTTGTCGTGAGCATGTTGAAAAACTCGAGACCAAACCGCCATGTACCCATCATGCTGAACACCGCTAACGCGCCATTCCATAAAAGCAATATCCATTTCATACTGCAAGAAGGAATAATCAAATTTCGCAGCCACATGAGTGAACGCTTTGCTTAGCGCAAGTCAGTAAGACATTTGAGCATAAGCTTGTTCCGCACTTATAAGAAATTTGAAATATTGTGCAATTCACGTGAAAAACAATTTGTGACCACCAACAACTTCCCAGTAAGACATCCATTTCATCTCTACTGCTCCAGCTCTTGCAAAAAAAGAGAAAAGCGCTATTTCCCTCGGTGCAGTGGGGCTCGGGGGCGGGGGGGGGGAGGCAGTCGACATGTTCACTCACCTCAGTGTGGAGAGGGGAAATACGTGAGTCAGGGGGAGTGTAGCCAGTCAAGGGGATGGAGGTGAGGTGACAGCAGTCACTCGACAAGCGTGAAGTTGAAATGTTCCAGTTTCCACTATGTCATGTGGATACCCCCCCCCCCCGAGCCATATTGAGCCTTGCCCTCAATCTCAGTAGCACGTAAACCTGTTTGAAGTGCAATAGAGGGTCCAAGTCTATAGAAATACTCTCAACCTGTACAGCACTATGCCCTTTCAATCTGCAAAGAAAGGACAAGGATAAAAGAAGGGTAGCGCCTACCTGAGCGGTTTCCTATTCTCCATTACTCGCTGCAATACATTGATGATGACTACGTAGCCGAGGGCTAAATATATGGATGAACTCCAGTGCCGAGCAAAGAAAGCGTGGACGGCGTCTGGATTCCAGAAATGCTCGGGACCAACGACATTTTTGTAGGCGAAAGGTGCATAGAGAATGGTGTGACCGTTACCGGACCAGACCGCATGCGACGACATCGTGAAGGAATGCCGCTTGCCCGACGACCGGCTTGACGCCACGCCCCCAACGGAGTGAACGGGCGCCAGCCGACGTCGCGACGCGACGCGCGATGCCGCCAGCGCGCTGGTTCACAGCCGCGTTGGCTCACAGCCGCGCGACGTTGTCATACCCGAGTGATTAATTTCCTGAGCAATCATTCCCGAGCTGATGCCATATGTTCAGCGGCGCTTTCGCTTTCTGGACAGCCATGTTTGCTGATTAACCGCCTCCACTTTCGGCAGCCCGAATAGTTCGCAGAATAGGAACGAGAACTCAATTCAGCACAGGAATCCACAGTTGCGAGTGCTGCTTGTGGTGCTCACGTTCACGTGGGCGTAATGGATGAAACATCCGTTTTCCTTTCTCATTTGGGATTCCCATTCTAGTTACATTTAAAATCCTATCATAGATACGGTAGCAGTTGCGAGCATGTATTCGCCGAACAGATTGCTTCTTTCTCTTTAAAAAAGGCTCAGGTGTAGGTAGGGGGGGGGGCGACGTGGCCAGGGTCAATCCGCACTTCGCACTTTTTCAAAAATTTTGCGACCCCCACCATCAGGATCAGTCTCAAAAGGCTCCCCAATATGATCTCCCTTTCCCTCCTACGATCATCACCCTCACCATCACAGCTGTTTCCATGATATTTGATTCTGAGAGTAGTTGACACACCCAGATTCGCCTACTTTCCCCCATTCCCTCCAAAACAGCCGTCGAACGATGAGGGGAATTATTATCCGAAAAGTTCGTGCCACAACATTTTTTTGAGTTAACATTATCTCTACAAAAAGCTATCCATTATCAACATGTGGACCGTTGCTATCAGTGACTTGTTGCCGACGATCCACCAGAGTGCCAACGCCGTGCTCCTAGAAGTTCGGCAGTTTCAAGCTGGAAAAGGCTGTGAGCACCTTTTTTGAATCGTATTTTCCGTCAGTAAGGTGATTACTTAGCAAGATGAGTAGTTGGCCTTTGAAGGAAGGTTGGTCACCGCTGTACGATGGATTTGATTTCACTTCTCAACTGAGGTTCGAAATCCAGAGCGTATCATTTTCGCAACACGTCGGTTCTCGCGGAACGGACGTACTTTATTAAATTTTGGGCATGATATGTATTTGGAGTTTTCTAATCAGCTTCAAGCCTTGAATAAAGGATGCCTAGGCTGCTACAAGGCCGAAGCTGTGGAGAAGTTCTCGGTGGCTTCTTCGAGTTTTGCTCCTCATACGTGAGTCAACACGTTTTGCTGTATCTGACAGTTTTTCAACCCCCTCTGAATGATCTAGCCACTGATGCTCCCGCAGGTCGTTAGCATAGAACAACCACTTCTCATAAGCAGTAGCGCCGTTGTTCAGCATCGCGTAGGGAAGGAATAGGTTGGAAGATGTTGAGAGAAGTCGTGCTGCACTCTTGTGATTACCGGTCATTTCATGGGGATTTCTTTGTCCAAGCCTCTATAATTTTCCAGAGAAGTGCAGACCTCTTCCAGTCGTATACCTGAAACATCTGAGTGTGGCGGTCACATATGTAGAAGAAGAACTCGTGCGGGTAGTTTTCAATGGGGGAGAACAGCAGGTCCAAAGCGGACACCGATTGCCTTCCCACATCAGGATTTTCTTGAGGCTGTAGTCTCCAGAAAGAAGAAGCTTGCAAAATTTTGATACCTCAAGGAGAACGACGACGGAGAGATATACACTAAGCAAACGTAACTCCTGACTTCGACCGATTTGTGGCTCAGCAGAATTCCATAAATCAAAGTGTGAAAAACATGGCTCTCTTCGTTTTCGGTTTTAAGTTCGAAGAAAGCAGCTAAGGTGGACATGGTTCGTGTATACAGGATGGTCTAAAATTATGAGGACCAAGACATTGTGTCTTTAAAAACGCATAGTAGCTTGATGGAACAAACCAACTTCAGGGAAGTATTTCTAACTCTTCCCTCAAAGTAATTCCAGAATAGAATTGAGATCTGCCATCTGCCCCGTTCGCACGAACCTTTAGATGAAGGGGGATGGAGGCGTGTCCAAATGTTTCCAGGCCTACTGCTCTGCCTTCTTCAGGGAATCAAAGTCTTGTGGGGCATTTATTTGCGCTTGCATCCAGGGTGTAAAATACAGAAATCTCGAGCTATCAGGTAGAAGTTTCCATTGTAACAATTCTTCGAAAGCAACGAACTCGAAAAATCGCCTTTAAGAGAATTTTTGCTTTATTCCTGGGCGCTCGGTCCTGTAAGAAGTCCCAAGTAGACCACTTGTGTGGCTTTCTATCCACTACAGAGTGGAGTCTTCAGAGTGTCTGGGTTTTCTAGAGGGTTTTCTCATCAATTTTTTCATATTGGGTGTAAGAAGGTCGACAAGGGGAGAGCTGGTTTCTGCATCTTATAATTATCCTGGTGGTGACTGTGACCTTCGAGTCCCCGAATTTTCACCTGTGGTGGATCCAAACTTATGAAAGAGTTCAAATGATACCCATAAGAGCTTCCCTGATAGGTCAGACTGCTGCTAGATGCAACGTGCCAGAGCCCCTAGTGAGTTTAATTTGAGGACTGATTCGAAGTGAAGTAAATATCTCACTAGTTTTGAGAACTTCATGAAACTTGGTCTCATCAGGTACAAGACATTGTACCCTTTCAGATAGTGCACAGAAAACGAGATAAAATGGAGCGATACGAAAAAAAAGCGGATATGACTGCGCGCGCACGCGGTCCTCATAATTTTGGACCGCCCTTTAGGTTACTCCACAAAGTAGGCTTTTCGTAGCCTACTTGCTCATATTCAGCAATCGCTAAATGTAGTTTTGGCATGAGATACAAAAGTGGCACGAACTTATGAGACAACCTAGTGCTATCATCAAACGGCAGAATTTTGCCTAATTCTCCTAGTTTCCTAAGAGTCCACCGAATTCTTCAATAAAACCAGAAACCCGTGCAAACACAAACCTTTTATGACCTCTGTAAACCTCTGTTCTCACTGTGACGTTACTTAGCCCCAACATGCGAACCCCCTTCTCGAAATCACAATCGCGACCCCCTCGTTCGAATAGTGCTAACGAACGGTTGACCATAGTCGTGGCACCGACATCCAAGGCACCCAAAACTACGGCAAAAATTTACGTTTTCATACCCACTTACGGGGGAAGGCATCAATTATCCCGTGGAACTTTGAAGTATTGCTAAGACATATCGACAGAGTTCACGCGCTGATTACAAATATGGGAACTATAGCTGCAAAATGGACTTGCCGAGGAAGTTGCGAGCAGTCAAAGCTGACTGGAAATAAAGCGTAACCCATGAACCGTGCTAGCGTCCGGGCGTTCAAGGTCGCACTGAAGCAGTGGAAGCAGGGTGAAAGTCGTGTCGAGGAAATACCCTCCTTTTTACGACCCCCTCCAAAACATGGACTCTGATACGACTCCTTTTTGTCCTCTGCACATCCGGTTTCATATCAAAAAATGCTAGTTTCAGATGTGCGAGAGGGACGCAGCGCCGCTGCTACGCAAATGCGGTTTGATCCAAATGCTAGATTCAATTCTGCTCAGATTAGGCTCTCCTTCTTTCCTTTGAAGACATTTAACCTTTGGCACATTGGCCGGAAGGTAGAACATTGAAGGAGGTACTGCCCTTACACAGTTGAACAGTCTCGCGCTCCAGTGTAGCGGCGCTAACTACCCGCGATCACGTCGCGCGCTGTGCCTAGAGCGCGCTAGTTGGAAAAATCGTCAAATGTACCCCCTTTTTAAAGCAACAGTTCAGGAACGGTTTCGCGGGAAAAAACCACCAATATAAGAGTTGTAGATGAAACCAGACGATTAATGTATGAAAAACTGGAAAAAAAAACGTCGGGGAGGGTCTTAGACAGGTACTCCCCTCGCGCTCAGCAATGGATAAAGACGCACGTTGGACGAGTTGTCTGAACGTGCCGCGCTGTAAACGCGCTCCATTTTTCAACCAATTTTCCCGTGTGTCCCAAAACGAGCACGACTGCCGACGCGTCCAATGACGGCCGGCAAGGGGGCGGGATTGGGGAAATCCCAAAGAAACCCATGTTTGAGGGACTTCCACCCTGTTTTTGAGTTTCTGAGGCAAGTTCGTTTATTTTTTCCACTGCATATGTTTCACAGGGCTCGTGTATAACTCAGTAGTGTGGCATTGAAATTTTCGGACCCTCCCTGAACTGTTGCGTTAAAGGACTATAACTTTCTTCATTGATAACCATTTCGAAAAGTGAAGGCAGCTTTTGAATGCACAAGACTTCTAGTTTCTAAATTGTGCTGATCGTTTCTCCAAGCACACCTATTCTCGAGAGTGGGAAACGTCGAGTAATTGTCGAGGAAATTGAAATTTACATGCGAGTTCCTACTCTTAGGATGACAGTGGCTGTCTTCATTGGCAATGCTCTGGAAATCCGACGAAAGCGTTGTAAAGTAGAAGATTCACGCTTTCTAACAGGTGAACAGGTGCTCCATTTGTTTCGAACGCTTTCTAGTTCGTGAGAAATCGGCGTCGAGGGAATGTCAAGGAAATTATCGAAGCCACTCGAAAACTCTTTCACTCCCTCGCCGTAGTAGGGGACTTTTTTGAACATCTTCAAAATACTTCTATACACGTCAGTTTGATGGAGTCAATTGAAAATGATGCACCTGGCGCGGATCCATTCTGTTCCTGTATGCAGTGACCCCACTTGGAGTCATTGGGAAGGTGGTTTGTCTTAGTACGACTTCCTTAAGCACACCAAAAGATATTTCCAGTATTAACTAATTAGGATGACTGTTGTAGTCATAGTGATATCTGATTATTCCTTTATTGAAATCGCTTCCTTTCCAACCGTTCTGATGAATGAAACGCTTGCGGTTGCAGGATCTGATGATGCCAAGAAGGCTGCGAATCTGCCTGTTTTAAACTTTCTACCAAGATGCTGTTCTTCCACTGAGTTCTTGAAGCATGTACATCATTCTAGAGTAGATACTCGCTGCTCTCCCCTACGATTCT